AATGGCATTTCATAACATGTTAATACTTGACGACATTGCTGAATATTTCGCAATGCCAAATTTGAAACAAAAGGATTGTCAATCGATTTTAGCTTTAATTCCGTTTCAGACCAACCAGCTAGTAGTTCGCGTCGAGACAAGTATGAACGCGTGCTGCTATTTGATCTTCGTTTTGACAATACTTGCTTATTCTGCCTTTGGACTCCTCGTCCATAGCTAAACTTCTCTTCTGATGCTTTTCTTTTTTGATTCTGTCAGTATACATAGTTACTGCCATTACAGAATAGCCGTACATTGCAGTGGAAGGGGAACGAAGATCTCGTAATGGGTCGCAAAAGGAAGAAGTTGATGACACCTCCAATCAAGGACGGATCTGTTGTTTCTCGAAATTCCAATTCTGCTGATCAGAGAAACAACGGAGCCAAAGGCTCCAAACCGGAAAGACTTTGCGATGCGATAAATTTTTACAAGGAGGCCAATTTGATTTTGACAATTTCAAGCGGCAGCGAGAAAGAAGAGGTTTAGTTTTATAAGTAACTTTCTAACTGCTAAAGTAACGAACTTAGCTTCGTGCCTGCGTTAATTATGTGTTGGCTGGTATCTACTTGAAATTCGCGGAACATGATCCGGACGAAGACGTCTGTCCTGCTCTTTTACGAAAATTGTGTTGTCAGGGGTGGCGAGTGAAACCTCCGGATTACCTTCTACAGGTATCTGCTCAGGTTTTGCGAGATGATTGCATCGTACCAGTTTTTTAAAAAGGATTATACTTTTTAGGATATGAAGCCCACAGAAGAATCTCCAGAAGAATGTGCGGAAAGATTGCGTAGGAGGATTTGGCCGGACCACATTAAATCTAGGGTTGATGCTGCAGATGAAGTTTTGAAATGCTGTAAAGAGGTATGCGATAGCTCTAGTCTATTTTTCTTTCGCAATCGCTTCAGGCTCTCAAATGCACACGTCAATCTTTCGCTTGTAAAAGAAGCTATTCATCCTTCTTC